AATAAAATCGAATCGTGTATGCGCGTGCCCCACGCTTTGTATTGCAGGCGCACAAAAATATATCTAATAAGAAGAAAAAAGATCTCACAGATTAATTTACACTAACTCTGCCTAAAAGAATTTCAATTTGAGGGTAGGCTGGTAGAGATTTTGATGAGTAATAAAATCGAATAGTGTATGCGCGTGCCCCACGCTTTGTATTGCAGGCGCACAAAAATATATCTAATAAGAAGAAAAAAGATCTCACAGATTAATTTACACTAACTCTGCCTAAAAGAATTTCAAGTGCCGCGGCTATTGAGGATTCCCTCTTGTTTCTCTTGAACAATAATATTTGTTTCATTAATCAGGTTTTTCCTCGTTCTTTATATCTCCACGTGAACGTAATAACCCTACACATGACACAGTCGTGCGTCCATAACAAATAGTATCTTTACTTGCTCACTTTACGTTTAATCAATTATTGATGTATTAACATTATGATATGTTAAAGTGAAAACAATTTTTAGTATAAGTGTCCTATAAAAATTATATTAACTTACAGTTTTTATCTCCTTAACTAAATAGAATAAAAAAGAAAGGCTATCATTTTCAACCCTTTGTAAGACATCTAGTATTTTTCTTTCCCCTTTTCCCGCATAGATGCATTCGTCCACGCCTTGGTTACACATATCTAATCGAAAACACCTTAGGTGTGAAAAAAAGGTGCAGCTAAAAAGGATTGAGCGTGTGACTTAAAGGAATGAAATCAATTGGCAGCGAAACTAGTAGCTACACTTTAGCATTGATGAGAATTTTACAGCAAATATTCATTCAATATTTAGCCAAACTGCGTTTTTAGTTCAACTTGGAGCATGATGAAAGGTAAAACAAAACACGCGGCCTAGCTAACTAATGATTTCATTCCTTTAAGTTGAATATTCGATCCTTTTTTGGCCGCACCTTTTTTTCACACCAAAGGTGTTTTTGGTTAAATATCATGACTTTTTGTCAATACACCAACAAACCACAGCATGTAAGAAAGTGACACTCGATAGTAACCAACATTAGGATCGCAACTCTATTATTCGGAACAGACCTATACTTTACAGAACCAACCAGATTCTTTAAAATGTATGGTGGTAATTTTTTCTCTCTAAAACAGTGTTAATAACTTCCTTTATAGTAACGCCATGGAAACTAGGTTAACAGTTTCTTGTCATCACCCGCATGCATTCGCTACAGCCGTATCAAGAATCATTATTTAACTGCTTAAGCTAATATCAGTGACACTAAACTCTCTTTAATTACGAGAATTTCATAAACTTTAGCAAATTTATTCTTAAAAATTGGCAATGAATAATCAATAATAACCGTCCACCCCTATGATTCTTTTGAAAACTTGAGCTAGAAACTACTAATATAGTTTGCTTGGCCTAACCAATAGTTATGTATCTGCACTTGCTTTCACCCTATAGTTTTGCTGCTCTAAATCAGCTCTCTTTAATCCGAATAACAAAAAACTAAAAAATGGTCCACTTTTACTCTTAGATAAAGTTGTAGTAAAAATTTCAGCCCGATAGCTCACGTGATGTTTTGCGTAAAATTGATAAAATTTGAGTGGTTTTTGTGAATAACTTTGCACATGTGGCTTATATTTAGACCACATTTGATACTTAATTGTAGGTTGTAAAGATCTATCAGTGAACCAGATTTGAAAGAAAAATCCATAAAAGTTAAACATCTTTTTCTACCATATAAATTTCCCGTACTTTCAGTGATAAGAAAAAAAATGGAAAAGGAAGAAATTCAATCAAAATTCGAGATTTTATGTCTCGTATATTTCTTAATAGATCGCTCTGAAATTTGATATTTCAAAGTAAATAGAACACATCCACTGAAAATATGTGATAGTTTGATTCAACACATACCCATCTACAGAAAGTGGATAATCGCTAAACTATCACTCTTGTTAATAACACACAGTGTGACTTGTAGGTTGCTTTGGCCGCACGACACATTACCGTGTTTCTTGATAATGCAACCCAGAATACACTTTATGCTGTGTAAAATGTAGATCACATGAAAAAGTGACTTTCCCGACATTCACTGCTTCACTTTTGCAGATGTACATTGATAAAACAAACAAAATCAACTAAGAGATTTTCTTTCCCATTCCCCAAGAATAATTACAAGAGTGAATATCAGACAAGTCGCAAGATTTATTTCAAATAAGGTTTGAGAATCTGATGCCTGTAAAGTACATCATTACTCAAGTGATTTGTGAATGAGACTAGAACATGGAGTGCAACCGTATTTGGCAATAATAATAATGGGTGCTACTAGAACATGGAATGCAACCGTATTTGGCAATAATGATAATAATTATGGGTGCTACTAGAACATGAAGTGCAACCTTATTTGGCAATAATAATAATGGTTGCTACTAGAGCATGAAGTGCAACCGTATTTGGCAATAATAATAATAATTATGGGTGCTACTAGAACATGAAGTGCAACCGTATGTGGCGATAATAATAATGGGTGCTATTAGAACATGAAGTACAACCGTATTTGGCAATAATAATAACAATAATAGTTCCAAGAAGTGGAACTGATATAAATGTGTCATTAAAACTCCTTTAATAAATAACTTGGTTATAATTATGTGTTTTTATTCATTTATTTTGTGTGTGTGTGAGAGAGATCGAAAACAAAGCTCAGTACTCACCACGCCTTGCAAATTCGGAGAGGGCAGATTTAGGTAACCAGCTCCTTTACCGTCACGTCCTGTTAGAATAGAAACATCAGGAAAACAAATATTAGAAGCAGGTGAGAAATTTAAATTTAATGTTGTATAGGAAATAAAGTAACGTCAATGATACTTAAATATTTCCCACAAACCTTTATAATATAATATAATTAGAAAAAAATATTTCGTGTATGTACTAAAGTTATAATTGACTTTGGAAACACTGTTATTTCACGTAACGTATTTTAAGTATTAGTTAGTTTTAGTGTACGAGTTAAATAAAAATAATCAAATGACCCATCTTATAGTATACAGAAGTGAGCCTATTCGTGCAGTGATAAGCCTAATACGTGTAAAGAAATGTGAGATTTTTTGAGAGGGAATTATGTTATGTGAATCAGGTATCAAATATTTTGTAACACGTGTTCGCGATTTCAGCTCATTGGAAATAATATTCTGTAGTTCCCAGAGTCCTTTACATTAGCATTTAATTAAGCATAATATTAAATTAAAACATCTAATACTTTACCGAACATTCTAAGTAAAATTGAAATCTTTAGTAATACTGCAGAAAGAATGAAGCTCAAATACAAAAAAAAAAAATCAACCGTCAGAAAACTGATAATATTTTAGACAAAACTCTGTAAAAATAGGACAGGGTGTGGCAAGTGGTTAGCGTGTCCGAACTATAAATCCGAGAGTTCGTGGCTCTTATAGCGTTGCCGTTAAAAATGCGTTCTATTTTAAGATCGTGGATGCACTCCAAGACTGACAGTAAAATCGGTAGTTGAAAGTAGATCCTGTTGACTACTATTCGGTAGTTGAAAGTAGATCTTGTTGACTACTATTCGGTAGTTGAAAGTAGATCCTGTTGACCACTATTCGGTAGTTCAAAGTAGATCCTGTTGACCACTATTCGGTAGTTGAAAGTAGATCCTGTTGACTACGATTCGGTAGTTGAAAGTAGATCCTGTTGACCACTATTCGATAGTTGAAAGTAGATCCTGTTGACTACTATTCGGTAGTTGAAAGTAGATCCTGTTGACCATTATTCGGTAGTTGAAAGTAGATCCTGTTGACTAATATTGGGTAGTTGAAAGTAGATCCTGTTGACTAGGTGCCTCAAATCAACCAGCCCAAAGTTGAGACGGTTTTCCGCATACAGTCTTTGTGTAGCTTGGTGTAAACAGTATAAAGAGTAAAAATAAAATATTCCAGGATTGTCATATTTAGGAAAATTGTAAAAGATGATTTATAACAGTTTCACTAAATTGGTTCCTTTGGGAAAATAACAGAGAAAACTATGCACACAACACTTTGCAAAATACTCGAGTTCTTCTAAAGAGAGATACCAATCAATTTGAGAGAAATGTATATGATCCTGATATAAATAGTTAATGGTATGAAATTTTATTTATCCTAATGGAGTTACCAAGCCTTATGTACATGTATAATTTCACTTGTGATCGACCATTTTAACATTATGGCTTTGGCTACAGTATTCTATAGAGATTTAACGACTGTTGATGCCTTTACAGGATATTAATAAAGGGAGTGTTTCATTTCAATATTCACTGTTCATTATTTTGATACAACCCTCTAGGTCTCCCGAGATTAGGATACTCTGTTTCATTCGCTACTGATAGATGTGCATATTTCTGTGTCCTTTAACAAGCTGGGCTTGCATTAGTTGGAATATCTGTTCTAAATCTACTATGAGAATCATTTTCCAAAGTCACGCTGTTTTACCTTTACACTCGCGCAAATTACATTCACTAAAATAAAAACGTAAATAACAATTATTTAGAAAAAAAATCCATACTGTTAATTCCAGTTGAATTGTTTTGCTTATTTTGTATTTTCTGTATGTAATATCCATTAAGTGAGAAGAATTAGAAAGCGGTTTGAATTTCATCTCATGATCTCTCTCTACCAAGAGAAAGATATCTGTTTCAAGAACAGAAGGACAATAAAACAGTGAGGGAGTAATTAATAGTTTGGAAGTTGAATTCCAAATTTCTCTTAGTGTCAAATAACAACATTTCAGTTGTTTCGTTTGATGTGTAGTTCTATCCTCGCAAATAACCTAAAATACTTTAGGTTTTAATTCAAATGTGTCACAATTAATTATCCATTATTCAGTGGGCTAACTGATTATTTATTTTCTTGTAGAAAGTATCAAATAAACATGGTTTCAAATAAATATGTATTTATATCAGATGATCACTTCATCCTAGTTCCAAAACACTTTTCTTTTTGAGTATGTTCAAAACCTCTTATATATTCCACACAATAACTGACAACTTTTCTTTGTACGGGATGGAAAATTTCTCCTCGTACCAGATTAGAACCTCAGTTTTACCACGTGACAACTTTCTTCTTGTGCCTGATGACAAACTCCTTTTTGTGCCACAGAACCAACTTTTCTCTTAAGCCAGAATACAACTTTCTTCCTGTGCCTGATGACAAACTCCTTTTTGTGCCACAGAACCAACTTTTCTCTTAAGCCAGAATACAACTTTCTCCTTGTATCAGATGACAAAATCTTTTTTTTTGCCTGGTGTCCATTTTTTCGTTGTATCGTACAACAAACCCCTTTTTGTTCCTTGTTAAACTTTTTGTTTTACCACATGATTTTTTGTGCCGTCTTACAACTTTCTCCTTGTATCAGATGACAAAATCTTTTGTGTCAGGTGATAACCTTTCTTTTGAGCCAGATATCTTCCTTTTCGTGACAGATAACAACCTCTTTTTTTATATAACATAATAACTTCCTCTTTGTGCCAAGTGACACCCTTCCTTTTGTGCCAAGTGACACCCTTCTCTTCGTGTCAAGTGACACTTTTTCCTTGTGCCAAGTGACACCCTTCCCTTTGCGCTAGATGTTATCTTTAAGTCTGAATCACCTAACATACGTGTCTTTCTTCATTAGCAGCCCCTCCCCAATTGGACAACGGTAAGTTTACAGACTTATAACGTTAAAATCCAGGGTACAATTGCCCTTGGTGAACACAGCAGATAGCCCATGGCGGCTTTGCTCTAAAACAAGCAACCACTCTTATTAGCAGACTAGCAAACAGAAAAAAACACCTGGTCTTTCTAAAATACAAGCTATGCTTTGAATATTCTGTGTTTCAGGCCTATGTACCAATAATTGTCAATATAATATTACTTTCTGGTCGTTCAGTAGTTGTCACAGCTTATCGCCTACTTTATTATGATGTATTTTAATCAGACAATTTACATCTTTAGAATATAAAAGTTTATGTTGTGGAGGTTGCATTGAAATGCTAGAGATTTTCAACATGAAAAAGCGAATAAAATAGTCATGTCTCTCATCTGCCTATATTATCAAGTCTGCCTGTTCTTTTTGATTATTAAGTATAATAAGAATTCGTTATAACGAACTAGGAATTGTAATACCAGATTTCATTCCTTCCCTCTCATCGATTTAGATAAACGTCACAGCAGAGCACCAAACAATCTTGAGATGCAGCAGATGTAACACACACACATACATGTATATGTAAATTAAGCCTTTTTTAAGATTCTAACGATCAGTCGATAGCTCAACTCTCGAGCCAGTTCCATAAATAAGGTATTTTTAGATTTGTAGCTTCGGAGAGACAACATAACAGATTTACTTGGCAACGAAGACAAAAGAAGATGAGAAGCGCAGTTCAAAGAAAAATCTAAATTCTATAACGCATCTTTATGGAAAATTCACATATATAGTTCAAGACAATAACACACTTACAGAACAGTTTTTTTGATCGTCTCCAATAAAAGTGAATATTAAAAGGTAAGTATTAAAAACAATTGTGGTTTGAAATTCTTCAAATACTGTTTGAAGTAAACCAGGCAGATTTCCAATACTATATAGTATATATTTCGCAGTTATCTGTATTACATCAAAGCTCACCTCCCGTAATGGATTAGTGAATGTATTCACAGTACTGTTTGAAGTAAACCAAGCAGATTTCCAATACTATATAGTATATATTTCACAGTTATCTGTATTACATCAAAGCTCACCCCTAATGGATTAGTGAATGTATTCACATACTGTTTGAAGTAAACCAGGCAGATTTCCAATACTATATAGTATATATTTCGCAGTTATCTGTATTACATCACCCCCCCTCCAAGTAACTTAGTGGTAAGTCTGTGTAGCTTTGTACTTAACAATAGCCAAATCAAACCAATACATAAAAGGCGTAAAGATGATTAATCAACTCTGCACAGCCCTGACGAGGTAATTGTGTAAACATACAACGTTTTTATCATGGACGTACGCGCCAACATATACATGAACGCACAGCAAAATTGTAACGAAACAGTGTAATTTTACATTATTTTGTTATAGTTTTACTGGCGCGATCATATATTTGTTAAAGCATAAATCTATAATAAAAATGTTATATTTTTACATGATATAAATATTTTATAATCTCATGAGCCTATTTATAAGCGGGCTTGGCAGAGCCTGATGGTTAAGATACTCGACTGGAAATCTTAGGGTCGCGAGTTCAAATCCCCATCTCGCCCTTTCAGTTGTGAGGGCGTTATAATGTAACGGTCGATTCGCTGGTAAAAGAGTAGCCCAAGAGTTAGTGGTTGTGGTGACGTTGACTAACTATCATTGCTGAATTAGAAACGGCAACTTAAATTTAACATTAACTTTGACGTAAGTAAATCAAATAACGATAATATACTATATTTGTCACACGACAATAGTATTAGACTTAGTGTATTTTTAGCCAAAATGTTCGCATACTGTTTTATATTGATGTTATTGTCCACATGCAGGGAGTAGTTATTGAGTAAATGCCCGAATAGTAACAGTGAAAGTAGCGTATGATCAGACAAACATGTACGAGTTGTTATTCTGGTCTGTATGAGTTGTTTTGAGCATTTGTTCGACGAAACATACATTACACACCTGTTTTATATAAAAGGGTCTGCTTTGGGTATAATGTTTTTCGAAACAGATCAACGCTTTGTTCAGACAATTTCTCTGTACTTGGTATAGAGTCAT